GATTGTAGTATACCCTATTTGACAAGAGATCCAATATTCAAGGGGTGTTTAGTGATGAGAATCATAGGTCTCCAGAGTCTTGGAGACTCCTATGAGGTGATTTGTGATATTAGGACGAGAGTTGGGCTGGTGCCCTCTTTCAGTTTGATGGGTCTCAGCCTTTGATTTGGGCAACCTTCATTAGGTCCCCTCTGAGTATTGCTCTAAGAGGGTTTCAGCTGGTCAACCCAGTTATTTGGTCTTCTATTGATGTGATGTGGCTTTTGATCTCCCTTCGAAGAGCCATCAAAAACAGTACGTTTATCTTTTAGTTCATTAAATTTCCTTGAGATTAGTGCTGGTGCATTATGGCATACATTAATATACATTAATAATGCTATCGAACCTTATATAAACATATTTTAAAGTTTAAATCATATATATATGTATATATATATATATGCATATGTAGATACATATGTATGTATATATACATATGTATGTACATATATATCTATATATATACGTATATTTACAAATGTATGGATGTATGTATGTATGGATGTATGTATATGTGTATGTATGTATGTATGTATGTATGTATGTATGTATGTATGTATGTATGCATGTATGTATTGCATGTATGTATGTATGTATGCATGCATGCGTGTGTGTGTTATAATAATAATAATAAAACTCTAGTATTTCTTGTTTGAAATACTAGAGTTTTATTATTATTATAATAACACACACACACGTTTGTGTGTGTGTGTGTGTGTGTGTGTGTGTGTAAAATAATAATAATAATAATAAAACTCTAGTATTTCTTGTTTTAGTGCTCATTTATTTCTATTTTCTCATATTTTTGTAGGTTTTTTTTTGTATCCTTAGCTCACTAAAATCAAGCCCTAAATAACATGAGACTGACATTCAAACATTTCATATAACAAGATTTAGGCTTGTTATCTTAAACTTAAGGACCTTAAAAGCTCTAAAAAAATCTCTTAAACTTATAAAATTTTTCATTAACTCTCATTTACCATTAGAAGGTTTTTTAATGTTACGAATGCATGAAATTTGTGTATTAAAATTCAGGATCCAGCTTAATGCATTCAGGCAGACTAGATTTCCACAAGACCTAATCACAAGTAAAATTGGGATAACTCATCTCAAAAAATTCAAAATTTTTGAATAATTACATCATATAACAAAAACCATAACCATAACTTACGAATTTATTTTAATGCTCGGAGTTTCCCAAGTTTTCCTTAGTTTTGATGTTCATTTAAGTGTTATGGCGTTACTCTAAGAAAGTGTCTAGATCATTCACTAAAATGCATAAAAATTTAACTCTACCTAAATTGTAACTCCTCAAAGCCCTCTTACACCATCTTTGGCCTCTTAAAAAGGGCTTTCACTCATGTTTGGTCACTCTAAGTTTTCTAACATTTAAACACATCAAATTTAATATCAGGGCCAAAAGTACAACTATGTAGTGATTTTTTTTTGTCCAAGTGAAGTTTTGGCAAGTTTATGAATCTTATGGCTCTTTTGCGAGGTCACAAAATTCTTACATTAGCTTCTTATAACCCTGTGGATGTTTTTTTCTTGGAACCTCAAGGGATCGTAAGCTTTTATCTTTAATACCATATTTGAAAATTCACTTCATATCCATCTACACCTTTTTCAATTTTCTAAGAAATTTCTTAATCTCTTCCATGAAAGGAAGGGGCTACAAGTTTTCATAAGTACAAATTAATTCAACTCTACAAAATAGAGTTCTTTAGAGTAGAGTAGAATTGATATGGCACCTGATGATAACCATATGAGAAAAAAGGACCAATCACAATGGCCCCGTCTAAGGAAAATGAAGCCGATCAAAGAGATCAAATAATCAAGAGCAGAATAAAGTCCTTAGAAAATTTTATAGTGTTTTATATTGTATGAATGTAATTGAAAGTTTATGTGTTTGTATTATGTGTTTATATATATTTATAGTAGTTTGGGAATTTGAATTCTAATTTTCAAGCCCATGAAAATTTGGAATTTAGAATTTCAATTATCATGGATAATGATTTAAAAGTAACAAAAATTGATTAATTATTATAAATATTATTCTAATAATAGATTTTTCACTTAGAGTGTCTAGCCATGACTCCTTTGGAACATGGTAATAGGTGATTTTACATGTGTAACTACCTTGCCTTCCCATCCACACACTTGGTCAACCCTCTTATCTTTCCTTTTTTTGTATTTTTTTTTATTATCTTATTTTAAGGTTGATGGGCTAAAATGGTGTATATAAATGCTTATGTCGTATAAATAATATATAATAAGTAGAATATTGATCCTATAACAAGATCATGTTTTATTATCTTAGACTTTAGAAGACCTAAAAACCTTTAAAAAATCCTCATAAAATCCAATACTTTTTTTATAAACCATCCTTAATCAGGTGCAAGTTTTTTTTTTTCTTTTATGTTTTGTATGTATTAAATATGTCCAATAAATCTGAAATAAAATCTACTTCATTCAATTAGACAAGATTTTCACATGATCTAATCAGTATTAAAATTTGAAAAAATCTATCAAAAAATTTTTAAATAAATTTGAACCCTTCCTGATCAAAACTAGTCTTATAACCCTAACATTTTCATTTTGCTTCAAGACCTAGATTTTCATAGAGTATCCTTACAATAGTTTCATAGTTCATTTGGGTGTTCTCGGTTGGACTATATAGTCTCCTATATCATTCATTAAAGTGCACTAAACATTAACTCCACTTCAAATTAAGTCCCTCCATACCTTATCCCACCTTCCTAGTCCTCTTAAAAAGGGTTTTCAATTTTATTTGAACAGTCCAAGCGTTTTAACTTTTCTAACTACTTCACATATAAGAAAGAATTTTATTTTTCTTTAGCTTATTGTATGTAGAGATCATTGTTCACCAAACTAAACAAACAACTCATCCAACATAATAATTTCTTTAATTGGTCATATGGTAATGCAAAGTTGTTCATTTATTAATAAACATAAATATAATATATATTTTTTGGAAAATTAAAAATAAATTAAAGTAAATATCTTTCAAGAGTTAATGAATTAATGTACTTCTCCTTTAATTATCTAGTCATATCGTAAGAATATTTAATTACTAAAACCAAGCTATGTTTCCAATACCGACTTCTATTTTCTATGCTATGGGGTCATTTATTAATTCTCACATCCAAAAATTAGAAGCATGCAATTTCTCCTCATCAAATGAGCTAAGATAATGAATGGTTCTTAATTATGCATATTTTCTATTAAAATTTTGAAATCCTTAATCAAATAATTCTTACTCCTTTGCCTCCTTCCATAATCTACTAACATAGCATCATTATTATTTGTACAATTATAAGAGATGAGCTAACATATCCTACCTTATTAATCTCCTCATTTTTACATGTATTAACAAGAGATTATTCAGACATCCCCCATCTCCTCCAACCCCTCTAATTTTCTCATTTCATCCTTTTCCACCTCATCCTGAGCCTCAATAAAATTAATGGCTGAGGCAACAACGAACACCTCTTCATTCTCTTCTTTCTTACCTTCTCATATGTATAAAATTTAAAATAAGATTTGTTGGGTTGTTCTGTCATGTCATTTTTTTGACACTGCTTGTTTATATGTAACTTGAGCAGAATAATGTCTCTATAAATATGAATAAAGCAAAAATTTATATACATAATAAAATAATCAATAATAAAAAATACTAAAAAAAATAAAACAAATACTATTCAAACTATATTTCTAATTCTATAAGCAAATTTCCCTTTATTTTTTTCAGCTTAGATCGAAGCAAAATTAAAGGTAAAATATTTCTGATATTAGCATCAATCCTTAACCATGATTTAGTTTATGTGAAATTTAAAAAATTACTTATCATCAGTCATAAGATTTCATAGAAAGAAGAGAGAGAGAGAGAATGTATTTATAAGAATAGCATCAGTCATAAGATTTCATAGAAAGAAGAGAGAGAATGTATTTATAAGAATAATAATATTATTCTCATTTCCTTTCAACAATTATAATTTTTACATGATTAGGAATTCAGATAATTAAATGAAAACAATATAACAAAATTATTAAAAATTTTAAATTTTATTAACTTAAATTAGAAAAATCAACCAAATGTTTTAAGAATTCTAAATCTATTGAATTAAAATCAAACCAAAATCTTGAATCCAAGGTAAAACCACCCAAACTTAAAAAGCTAGCATACAAGAAATAAACACTAAAAATTAATTACTCTAAGTTTTTATTATTGACTCAAAAGGTGCAATAACATCTTTTTTAAAGTTACATAGTAGGAATAATGTAAAAACTAATAGGCATTTAACATTAGTCAAGTGTGCAATGTAGAGAAAGGTAGAGAAGTAAATGTACATGATCTAATGGGGCGTAACTTCTTAATCAAACCTAAAATTTACTCAATTTTTTTAAGTAAAGATATATAATAAGGATATTTACACAAGGAATGCAAATAATAAAAAAAAATGTTGCAATGAGCTCTGCATATTTAATTATTATTTCTCAAAATAAGTTGTTAAATAAACCCCCTATAATTGAATGCTTCATTGCACCGATGTAATACAATATAGTTCGTCGTAGTGATTTATGTATGATTGCTTTATCAAAATGATATTTACAAACCATTATTGAATTAAATAAAAATAAATTCTACTGATTAAATAGAACACAATAATTGTTAATGAGATTTTTGTGAATAAGATCATCCAAACCTATAGAGTTTATTTGAGCATGAGGCTAAATTCTAAAATCTGGAAAGCAACTCAGCTCAACACAACTACCTACCTCAGGAACTTGCAAGAAAAATGTTTCATGATGAGAGTATTTATATTGGGTGAATCAATTAGTACATCAAATTAAATAAACTCAATTTGGTCTTTTATGTTTGCCACCAATAAATTTTGGTATTTCCAAAAAAAAAAATCATGAGAAAAAGTAATGCAGAACAATTAACCATATTTGCATGCAAACTATTTATATGAATACAAGTTGTAACTTATATCAGTTTCATGGCATGCACACATCTCACGGAGGAGAAAAGAAAACTTCAAAAGAAAGAAAAGAAATTCATAGGACTAGAAAGCCAACATTACTCACAGTTTATAACGTAGCAAGTAATTCAAAACAGATTTTGAGGCTTCTGCTTTCCAAATCGCCATTTGCTTTCGTCAGACATGCATATTTTCCTTGATGAATTTATACCCATGCTTTGCTTCTGGTAGTGCTCCGAGCTCCTTGAGAGCATCCCACCATAGGAATCTGTAAGCACTTCCAAATCACTATTATCTTCAAAGTGTCTATTTCTGCCAGGGGAATTGTAGCCCACTTCTCTATAGCCCTAGCAAATTGAAACATTATACATTAGATATATAAATACAACAAAAGCATATTACATGACCTGATTTAAGAACTGTTTCATAGACTCAGTGTACGAAAATTAACATTGGTTCTCTAACCTTGGATTTTACTTTAGAAAAGCAGGGAGTCAGACATGGATTTATGTCATCTATTCTTAGAGGATCACAAGAGTTATATTCCTGTAAATAGTGTTAATGGGATAAAACCAAGTGAATCAAACTTGAGAAAATATGAACTATCAATACATGGTCATTTACTGAGGTTTTCCACAGTATGTTTGCTATTAATAGCAAGGAAGGAAGACTTACCAAAGCATCAGAGAACTCCTTTTCGTATTCAGGAGTTGTTGGAGAATTGGCAAGCCTATCAAAGCAATTCTTCGCAACATACTTATCTGCCTTTACCTGTACAAACTAACTCATCAATAAAAGATATTCTACTACTTCCTTCAAAACAAACAGTTATTGATTGTGATAGAAATCAAGAGAGAAAATATGGTTGATGTCATTTTCTTAAAATATTTTAACCTGGAGGATTTCGTTGATGATAAACAAGAAAAAAACTGCGGTAAAAAACTACAACTTCATGGCAACATGACAAGAGAGGTACAATTTATTCTGCTATTGTGATCTGATATGTCTCAGCATTCTGAAAGTATTAAAACTCGTGATAAATTTAAAAAGGTTAATTTTGTTCACATTTTTGTTCCATCTTTCCAACAGCCGTGTGTAGACCTTTTCTCCAAGTCATTTTTTACTTTGCAATACAACATTTTAAATATGAAAAAGGCAAACTTGAAATAGATGAGATCAGGTCTATCATTTTTAGAGCGGAATATATTTTACGCAACGTTCTTTCTCACATGAGATTAGCAACACAATTATGGCATCATGCAGTCATTTTTTCTCTTCTTACTTTTACACTTGCTTAAAAACAAAAATGCGACAGTTTATGGAACTCTAATAGTGTACACATTTGCACTTGCTCTTAGAATTAAAAATAAATAATAATATATTTGTGTGTGTGTGTGTGTGTGTATAGGAGGATATTCTAGAAGTCTAAGCTAGCAACACAAAAAATTAAATTGGTTCAGTGGTAAAGGAATAAACAATAACAAATCTGCAAGCCAATTTTTCCATCCTCGATGCTTCGTTTTTTTGGTATCGATGCTTACGCAAAGGTATCTTCTTTTGTAAATAACAGATCAAGTAAAATGCCTCTATGTTACAAGAATGGATCAAAATAACTAAACATTAAAATATATTGGTTTAATTTTTCGAGGAGATTAAAATAGGATGATCCAATATTGGATTACGGCTTGCATTTAAAGTTCCCATACATTCTAATGGTTGTTTGTAGTGAGCATTATGGAGATGACATGATAAACCAAAATAGAATGAGTTTCAATAAAAGGCTGTCTCAACAAAGAAAGAAAGAGCACGAGAATTAGAATGGGCAAAACTAGGGGAAATAATAATAGTTTAGGTTAGTGATATGTATATAGCTATACTAACTCAAATAATTGTTACTACACTAATATCTCTCCGGTGGCAGTTTTTGAATTAGGTGATTCTCAAGGATTTGAAAAATCTCAGCTCTTGATTTGCGCCCAAGACTTCCTTCTTTTGTAAAGTGCGGTTGAGGTTTGTCTATATGAGACTACTACTAGAGTTTGACAATAAGCAATTATCTCTAGTAGTTCCTCTTCAGCATAATCTCTCGGCAGCAATGGTTTCTTGGGAAAAATTGGCACTTTTGTGGATCATGTGTGATTCTAAATTGGAACTGCAAAAAAATTTTGGAAGTGAAAAAAATAATGCTATGATAGGGCAATGCAACACAAACTTTTCAAAGTAATGACAATATTTAAAAATAAGAGGATTAATTGAGTTCTCTCGCTATAAGAACTCCTATTTGATTATTATTTTCTACTATTTGTTTTCATTGTTACTATATAACAAACCTGCTATACCAGGCCACCAGCGATTCACACTCCACTAGCTCCTGCTAACAAACTCTGACATCAGGTAAAGAATCGAATAGTACTACCTTCCAAACCACCATCAACCTTCCAAAATTCATTATCAAGTCTATATATACTTATGCTATATTCTATAATACTACTACTGCAGTCTTTTACATTGTAAGGAGTACTGCATCTTCTCGATTGTTCTCACGTAAAGAATCGAATACTGATTATTCATTTCTACAAGGTATCAAAAGTTTGGTTCTTCGTAATTCCCTAAACCTCCTTTCCTTATCTTCCCCCCCTCCCACCCTCTTTCTTTATCTCCAATGTCAGAAACCTCCTCCTACACAAATCGAGAAGCAATTCCAGCAATGGCCGACATCCCCACTCCTCCATCACTCAAGTTCTTAATGTCCAACGTCAAAGCCATCGTAAATGTGCAACTAACAACCGACAACTATCCCACATGGGAACCCCAAATAAACAAACTCTTCAAGGTAAATGGCTTTGAAAGCTTCCTAGATGGATAATGCGATCTGCCCTCCCCACGTTTGAAACTCAAATGGACAAACCTCCTCGAATCCCCACCAATTTCTAAGCTGGCAGCTCATTGATCAAAACCTCTCAGCAGCCATCCATTCTACAATATCACCCACACTTCTGTCATACATTCTCAACCTCGAATCCTCTGTTAGAATCTGGACAACTCTCCAATGTAGGCTGCAATCCACAAATCACTCCAAGGCCAAACAATTACGAAACGCGATCCAAAAAATCAAACCATGTACCAATACCTTTAGGTCATCAAATTACTTGTGGATAACATCGCAGTTGCCAGGGGTCACATCGACAATGAAGACATCATCCTCTACATCCTTGACAATCTACCAGCTTCATACCAATCTTTCAAAACAGCTATTCGCACAAAATCAGAACCCATCACTAAACGAAGAGTTGTACTCTGTTGTACAATGAGGAGATCAACATATCTGCTGAAAACACCAAAGAAACCAACGCTACAACAATAGCCCTATACACTACACGAGGTGGTAACAGCAACAACCAGAACCGCGGTCAACAATACCACAACGCTAGAGAAACCAACAACAATCGGGCACCAAACAGAGAACGTAGAGGACCCGCAACTCTTTTACTCTCCCAACATGACAAATATATGGCAAATCTGGTCGCATAGCACTCACCTGCTGGCACCGAGCAAACTTCAGCTCCTACCCGTCCATGAAAACAGATACAACACTCTTGACCGGCAACGATACCAGTTCGAATGGTTTCTAGACTTCGGCGGTACCTCTCCTCTCACCTCCAACTACCGCTTACAGCACGCCAAACCATACCAAGGATCAAACGGCTCCACTCTCCCCATCACCTACACGGGCCAGGGCATTCTCCCCACTCAAAGTAAGCTCTATCTCCCCCAACTTTTTGACTCACCACACCTATCCCATAACCTCGTCTAGTCCATCAATTAACCTCCGACAACAATTAGGACATGTCAAAACTAGCTTTGTCACCAAGGATCGGAGAACAAACATCCTCCTCTAAGAACCTAGCAAGGATACCTTGTACCCATTTCAGCCCAGAGCGCACTCCACTCATCTCCACCATCTGCTGAAGGCATTGAGGTCGGGGCATCCTCATCAAGAAATTGCTGCCGTAATCTCTACTACAGCAAACTCTGCTTTTCGTTGAAGCTTTATGTTTTTTTTGCAATGAATTTAATTCCTCTAAAAGTCATCAACAATCATTTCCTACTTCTGTTTTTGAGTACAAATGTTTCTTTGATCTTATTCTAATGTTTGGGGTTCAGCCCACACCACTTCAATACAAGGATACATATATTATCTTCTTCTTATTGATGACTACTCTCGCCTCGCTTGGGTGTTTCCTATGCTCGCAAATTCTAAAACAACAGATAAACTTATATCCTTTCACAAAATGTTACAAACCCAATTCAACACAAATATCAAAATACTACTCTTCGATGGTGGAGACAAACAAACCTCAAAAACCTTACACCTATATCTTACCCCCTATGGCATTCTTCCCCAATTCAGTTGCTCCCACACACCTCAGCAAAATGACATGGTTGAACGCAAACACATACACTTAATCAAAACCACACAAACTCTTCTCCTCACCACCCACCACTCGCCCAAGTTTTAGACAACAACCCTAATGACAACCACCTAACTCAGAAAACGCTTGTCATTCAAGGCCACGAAATTTTAAATCTCCTTCTGAACTCCTACATGACAAACCACCTATCTATACTCACCCACGCACCTTCGACAACCTCTATTTTTCTTGTCAAAAGCCACAAGCTTCACAAAAACTCGCACCATCATCCCCACATTGCATCTTCATCGGATACAACTCACAAAGGCTATTGCTATAATCCTCAAACACACCAAAATATCATTTCTCAACACTTAGTCTTTAACGAATCAACCTTTTGTTACCTCACTCAACCAAGCCAACCTCACATCCCTAATACATAAACTCCATCCAACCTACTTACTCCTACTAATCAACAGTTCAACACCTCAGCTCACCCCTCACCACTTCCACTTGACTAACCTTCTATACTTTCTATACCTTCCATCACACCTACAACTTCATATCAAATAACACAATCAACTCATCCATCAAAAATAACCCAAACTCTCCACTCATTACCACAATCAAACATCCAATGATAACCCGCTTTCAAACTGGACCACATAAACCCAACAACCCCTCAATCTACACACATCCACTTCCTCATCTCCTGACCAAACTTGCAATACACAAGTCACAAAATATCTACATTGGCGAAAGGCCATGTCATTAGAATTCAAAGCGCTTCAGCATCAAAGAACCTTGATCCTAGTCGAGCCACCGCCTTACTAAAACATCATTCGCTGCGAGTCACTGCAAATACAAGTACCACCGTGACGAAACTGTGGCTAAATACAATGCCTGATTGGTTGCACAAGGCTTTAAGCAAGTACCACCGTGACGAAACTGTGGCTAAATACAATGCTGATTGGTTGCACAAGGCTTTAAGCAACAAGGAATTCAATGCTTCGAACATTCAGCCTTGTAGCTAAACTACACACCATTCAAATTCCCCTCTCAACGGTGCCTCACCACAAGTGGATATTTCAATAGTTTGACGTCTCTAACACATTCCTACACAACTCCCTCAATGAAATCATCTACATGCATCAACCTCAAGGCTTACATGAAAACCAATATCCCAATCGAGTATGCTTACTCAAAAAGGTTCTCTATGACCTTAACAAGCCTCAAGGAGATGATATCATACTGTCATCGATCACCTAAAAGCCAAAAGGTTCAACCAAAGCACTATCAATCCATCTCTTTGCATTTATCATTACAACCAGATCACCATTTACTTCCTTGTGCATGTGG